ATCCATCCATCCATCCATCCATCCATCCATCCATCCATCCATCCATCCATCCATCTATCTATCTATCTATCTATAATGTTAAACGCCCCTTAGAGCACTGTAAGATTATTGAAGCGGCAGTTCCCCTTTAACGTATATCTTCGATACTATGACTGAACTGAACCAAGAGGTAAATTTCGTGTAAAAGTGTATTTTCTCTAGGACACAAGGTTGAACCGAGCAGAGACTCGAACCCCGAACCTGCAAGCTCAGGACTACGAGCCCGGAAGCTGAACCACTCGACTAACTCCTGCGTAAAGACATTTAAGAGTAGGGTGGGGAGTAACTAAAACCCAGTAAGATTCAAACGTCTTCTCCCGTCTATCCATCCATGCATCCATTCATCCAGCCATTTTATCCACATGGTGGCGCCGGTAGCTTTGTGGTTAGGCTCTCGGACTCGTAACCATAAGGTCGTGCGTTCGAATCCCGTCAGGGACCCGGCATTGTGTCCTCGAGAAATGCACTTACTAACACGAATTTTCCTCTCTTTACCCACACGGGAATGGGTACCCGGCTATAAACAGCGAAAGATCTCGTTAGTTTGTTGTTAATGTTTGAGCGCGTGCAATCCGCAATTTGCACTGTATACTTCCCGAGAAGTCAAAACTGTTTCTGCGTGTTCTAAGGTCTGCTGGGGGAATAACAGTAGTTGAGTGCATGCTGCAGAGCGTGGATAATATGCGCTATACAATTGCAATTATTATTATTTACATCCATAGCATTATTATTTACATTCACTCTGTGAATATATTATTCATCATCCAAATATCGTTTGTTTGTTTTAGTTTTTTGTTTTTGTAAGTGTTTTACGGCGCTCGCAACTGCTTAAGGTCATATGAGCGCGCGGGACACATTAAACTTTTTCAGTTGGTAGGAAATTTTGAATTTTGCCCGGGTGGCGGCCGAAGCCTACTCTTATCGATTTTAGACCACCAAGGGATCTTTAAGTGCGCAACTTGCACTCGGGTCCTCCGAGATTTTTCGCCTTTGTCCGAGAAGGCTAGGTGTAGATCTTTCCAACCAGAAGATTAGGGGTGTGGCTGAAAGACAGCAGTAAAAAGAAGCCAAGGAGTAGCAGTAGAAAGGTTATAGAAAGAATCAAGAGTCCAGGGGAGGGGGAAAAGGAGGTGAGGGAGTGGGGGCAGAAAGAGGAGACGAAAGCAGACGACAGAACATTGCTAGAGAGCTGGAAAGGAGGTGAAAGACATTTTTTCGGTCACTACCCGGATTCGAACACGTGACCTTTGAATGAGAGGCCAACACCTTAACCTCTAGGCCACGAGAGCCCCCTCCGATAGCGTGTCTGTCAAAGAAATGTTCTATGTTGTGCATTTATCTGCACCTGGCAGCAGGCTAGATACTACATACATGTCTTGCTTTCTTGATGTGAAAGTGCCTGTTCAGTCTCAAAGATTTTGTTACAAATCATCAATTCATCGACGATAAGTTTTTTTAAGGTTTAGAGAAAATAATAATGGTTTTGTTTTTCGTTTGTTTGTTGATTTGTGTGTTATTTGTTCGTTATTTTTTTATTTGTAAGTTGTAGTTTTTTCTTTAAACTTATTATTCTTTTCATCGTCCCCACGGGAGTCCATATTCAGAATCATTTTTAATCGATACGATTTGTTGACTTTGACCTCATCGCACTCAGCCAGCAGACATTGGCAAGGGCTGCGCGTCGTCTCACAGCAAGACTTCCGAGAAATTGGATTTCAAAGGTTGTTTCACCAGAAAGAGAGATAACAATAAATTAATGACGTGTGCATGGAAGGGCGGGCTCGACCGAGAGAAAGCTAAGCGCGTAAACACAGGCACACACGCACATTCAAACACATGTTAAGAGAACAATGTATTGCATTACAGGAAGAAATAGTTTTTACGGGCAATATTACTATAATGGTTCCAGACGCAAAATGATAATCAATGCTCATGGGTCATTGTGTAGCTTCAACAATGCCTCTTTTGACACTCTAGGATTTAAGAGATAATATCTCCGAATGTAACACCAATCTGTCGAACATTTCGACTGCTGATTCTCACACCATACAAAAATAATAGGAAGAGAAAGAGATCAATAACCTCACGGTATTGTCAGGGGTGATAACCTATACAAATGGGCGGGGAGCAGTAAAAAAATATTATTTTTTTTAAACAAACAACTTCAGAACGCCATGCAAGCGATTCGAGCCAAAGCCATTCGCTCCGCAGTCCACCGTGATATCAACTGAGCTAACCTATTTTTAAAAATTGCTACCTCAACAATTAAATTTACGTCTATAAGGTCAAATTTTGTTCACAAAAGCATACCCATGATATATTATTACTTATTTATTATGTGCTCGTGGTTCATAGGCAACACACACACACACACACA